AGCTATATTTACTTTAGGATCCATCCATATTAAGATACAGTTGTGAAAGACTATCAAGCTCGGGAACTTCAAAGAAAAGATTGCTAGTAAGATACTAGTATGGCATTTTAGGTTGGAAAAGAAGAGGCTTAAAGCTGTATCCGATTAATATCACCAAGAGTATTTAGGTTATCAGAACATGCTGATTTTTTAAAACATTCCAAGATGTAGTAGTCTGATGAAAAAGGTTTACCATTGTGCAGTTGTCATGTGGTTCTTCCGTCCGCGGTTCTTCCCATCGTGGTCCTTCCGTCCGCGGTCTTTCCATCAGTGGTCCTTCCGTCCGCGGTCCTTCCATCGGTGGTCCTTCCGTCCGCCGTTCTTCTCCACGTGGTACTTCCGTCCGCCGTTCTTCCATCGGTGGTTCTTCCGTCTGCGATTCTTCTCCACGTGGTCCTTCCGTCCGCCGTTCTTCTCCACGTGGTCCTTCCGTCCGCCGTTCTTCCATCGGTGGTTCTTCTGTCCGCCGTTCTTCTCCACGTGGTCCTTCCGTCCGCCGTTCTTCTCCACGTGGTCCTTCCGTCCGCCGTTCTTCCATCGGTGGTTCTTCCGTCTGCCGTTCTTCTCCACGTGGTCCTTCCGTCCGCTGTCCTTCCATCGGTGGTTCTTCCGTCCGCGGTCCTTCCATCCGTGGTCCTTCCGTCCGCGGTTCTTCCGTCTGTGGTTCTTCCGTCTGTGGTTCTTCCATCGGTGGTCCTTCCGTCCGCGGTTCTTCCATCGGTGGTCCTTCCGTCCGACCGCCTTCCATCGGTGGTCCTTCCGTCCGACCGCCTTCCATCCGTGGTGCTTCTGTCCGCGGTCCTTCCATCGGTGGTCCTTCCGTCCGAGGTCCTTCCATCGGTGGTCCTTCCGTCCGACCGCCTTCCATCCGTGGTCCTTCCGTCCGCGGTCCTTCCATCCGTGGTCCTTCCGTCCGCGGTTCTTCCGTCGGTGGTTCTTCCGTCCGAGGTCCTTCCATCGGTGGTCCTTCCGTCCGAGGTCCTTCCATCGGTGGTCCTTCCGTCCGCGGTTCTTCCATCGGTGGTCCTTCCGTCCGCGGTCCTTCCATCCATGGTGCTTCCGTCCGCGGTCCTTCCATCGGTGGTCCTTCCGTCCGACGTTCTTCCCCACGTGGTTCATCCGTCCATAGTTCTTCCCCTCGTGGTTCTTCCATCCATAGGCTCTTCCCCTCGTTGTTCTTCCGTCGGTAGTTCTTCCTCCAGTGGTTCATCCGTCGGTAGTTCTGTTGGTGGCTCTGGAGTGGCGCCCAAAGAGATGAAGCCTTCACACGAGTCATTTGCCAGAATGCACCGCCGTAATGTCGGACAATAGGCTGAAGATATAAAATAAAGTATCATCAGTTACAAAATAGATACTCAATCGGTATTCATAACTAACAGTTCCTGCATCAAGTCCACCCAGTTCATGTGTCACCTAATAAGTTTAAACTCAAATTCTGATTCAATAATTCTCAAATACTTGCATGAGATTTGATTTTCTAAAACACGAAGCATACAGCAAAGTAAACCTATCTATTTTGATGGTAATTTTTGATATGTTGTGTATTAAGTTTTTATTTAATATTGATATGGATCACTCAAAATATGTACATATGTAAGTTCTTTACCACAGCTATGACAACAAACGGATGCCTTTTAGGTGACTTGGGGGGAGGCTCAAATTCTGACAGAAAAGTCAACTAATATAAACAGCAGGGAATATCATACTTACCAATCTCATCTTGACGACAGCGGAGAGTACCGAGTGTCTTCCGACATCCTGACCATCCACAAGCAATGCAGTCGGCTTGGTCAGGGTTTAAGTTGCTTGCAGCGTGTGCAAAGTAGCTATCCTTTTAATGACGGAAGTTAGAGATCAACATTTTGTGTCCTGCTGTGGCTGTGTGTTGCTTTAACAACAGCTTCATATTTGCATGCTTAAATGTGATTTATGATTCCACGTTGCGATATCTTATTGATTGGAGTTGATTACATAATTTGGGTTGTAAGTATCTTTCCTCGTTGGCTATTCTGACTGTTTATAATGTATGAATCGAACACAACTAGGTCTTTTATGTTTGATGTACAGATTTTCAGGTTTTCACATTTACATCAAAATATGGAGATGGTAATACAATATTATAATAAAAATAATACAATAAGCATTGTCAAAATAACGAAATGTAGAAACATTTACGAAATATATCCAAAGGATGTAGCTAGTTTCACGGGAAGACTGTGTCACAGTCCTTGACACGGCATTATAATTGTATCGCACGCTCTCTCTCTCTCTCTCTCTTACTTCTATTTCTTTCTTTCTTGCTCGCTCGCTCACTCTACTTTGTCCCCCACTCTACCTTCTTAGAAAGCATGATCTAGAAACAAGTGGTACCTCTTCCTCCGAACACACTATGGTGCCGTTGTTGCAGGAGCTCGCAATGCTGGTCGGTAGGCACATGTTGGCGGCGCGACAGAACACGGTGTTCGGTAGGCATTTCAGACCGGTCCAGTGTTGGCAGTCTTCGCCAACAACACACCCGCCAAGTCCGGCACAAAATCGCTGTTAAAACATTAAGACAAAACAACGTTAACGTTTTTTTAAACTTCAAATAGATTTTTGAAACGATGCACGAAAACCCAGGACTAGTACTGTAGTACATGTACTTTGTAATAAATGTAAGAGAAATTACCATAGGTGTAGAGAGCGATTGGTCCCGTGGGCAGATCCCTGTCCCGTTGTCTACTTGTCGGTCCTGCCAAGCCTTGAGTTCCTGTCGGTAGCGGCAGATGTCAGGGTGGTCCCGGCAGGTGTTGGTGCCGTCAGGCGGCTGAGACGGGCTGGGATCTCCCGACCCATCAGGAGTCGGCACCTGGCCTGAATTGTCCGCTGACAACAACGATGGTGGTACAAACCACTGGAACGCAGAAAATCGACATTAAACTGATGGTTTTGACATTCCACTATCCTCGCCAGGTTTTGGTTTTGTAACAGAACGTGAAATCAAACATTCATGTCCACGGTTTCATACTACAAATCTATACTGAAGGATTCACCTGTTGGAAAATGGCATAATATTGGCATTCCTTTACATTGACCGTTATTTCCTAATGACTTTTCTAAATAAAAAGTAAAACACTAACAATTTAAACTTACCCATCAGAATGAGGAGTTCCAAACGCCCCATCTTCACCACACGTTTTGAATCCCTGTGGCCTCACGGCCTTCCCCGATGTTTTTCTTCTCTGCCTTTTCTTCAGCTACAACAACGTCAAACGACGTACGGTACAGAAAAGGTGCTCCCTGGTACGGGATGGCACGCACAATGAGCAACCTGGACCGCCAGCCAGTCGCCAACAATATCGTGCATGAATATTTCATAGCTTTATTGTCCTTTTCACCACTCAGATGATTGCTTCTTGATTGGCTTTGGATGATTCACAATAGATTCAAAATTCATCCAAAAGCACGTCATTAGGGATGGCAAAGATGACAACAGGTGATATATGTAGTTTAGAATGAAAATTTATGTACACTTTCCAAAGGTTGCAATTTATATACCATATATCATCAATATATTTGTAAAACTTATGTTGATTGTATCCTTTGAGCTCTCATAACGTTTCGGGAACAAATGTGAAGTAATTTCCTTAATAGGGCGTTCTTTTTAATTTCTGAGGTATTAAGATACACACAGAGAATCCCCCATGGTAACCAGCAAAACATCAGTAATAATTCATGACACCATACTAGGAATAGGCATCACTGAGCCAACGTTCTTATGATATCTCACTAGAGCGTGGCAAAAGTGTATACAATGTATATACAATGCTGTTCTTTTAGCGTGTATGGAAACTTGCACGACATCTCACGTTACAAAAGCTCCTTGGCCTTTATTGATCGTACAGTTAGTGTGAAATACAAGTCACTAAATATGCTACTCCCAACTATGTCATGTGAGATAGACATGGACATGAGTGTTGGCCTGGACATGAGGAAATGTTTGCGATGCCTGATGGCAGGTATAATAATAATAATAACCTTTATTGTACATTCATGCCCTATCGGGTTAAGTACAGGTCAACAGATGAAATAGGTAATATACATGTTTGTAGTATAAACAGTTCTAAAACTACTCTAATACAGGGGTTCGGCTTCTTCTCGTTTCTTTGTGATCTTGAAAATATAATTTGAGATGGGTTTGTATAATAGAAAAAAGGTGAATCCAACTGGATACGATTTTGGAAATCATATCTAGTTGCTTGAATAACTACTTTCATCTTCATCGACGCATTTATGTAATGTTTAGGACCCTAATTATCAAGCAATTCCCTTGATTGACGCCATGTCTCCAAGATACGATGAAAACATTCACACAAACATACTTTGCCTGTCTGTATTATATCAAAAGTGGTTTGGGTCATTTGCAATGTTGCTGCACATTGCATCATGGCACCTTGAAATATAAGGTTACTTAGGTTCTATCCAGTGCTTGTTTCTTTGTTTTGTAACTATGAACTTTGTACATCGGCAATATTTTGGTCAAATCAATGATTTTGGTAAAATTAATTTATCTGTAGATGGCTGTTGGCCATTAGCAATTACATGTATATACAATCAGCATGTACTTACAATCAGCAGCAATGCAAATGGAAACAGACTTTTCTCTCACCTATACAGATATTAGCCTCTTTCGCAGACTTGTTGGGCAGCGATGTTCTTTCTTTTTTTTTGTGAGTGATGCGAGTTATTCCAGAGTTTTGCTGCGGAGAGATGGTTTCACTCCCCCGCGCTTTGTTGGGGACGTGAAACCTTCTCTCCTCAGCAAAACTCCCTCGGCGGCAAAACCGTCCCTCCACAGCATAACTTGTGTCGCTCACAAAAAAAAAAATAACGCCACCCAACAAGTCTGCGAAGGAGGCTATACAGATATGTACTTGCAGAGTGATCCATAAAGTAAGAAAAAAATGAAGCAGAACCAGTCCTTTTACTAGTGCACAGTTTATTGAGTTTCCGCTGACACCAATAAACAATAGGAATGCTCTTTACATACCAGGTACATCTAGAACAAGAGAAGGAATTGCCTCAAAATGCTTTAATACATCAGAAATATGCATTTATAAGTAAGTAGTTACTTATTGCAAAAAAGTCTATACCAAATTTGATTTCTCTTTCTGCAGACTAAATAAGAATATGATAGCATTGTCTATTTGAAAATTGACAAAAGTCCATATTTCTTTTTGATTACCAGCATGTTCTTCAAATCTTAAATAAAAGCTGAAATTAATCCTACTGAAGAAAGATGAAAACAGAGTAAGACATTTGGTCAAGAAGTCAGTTACTTTTAATTACATGTACACAGTTTCTATATGCATAAGTTACACCAACCAAATACTACCAGTGCTCGTATCTAAGCTTCCTTTGGTGTAAAATTATAACATTGGATCAAAATGATTGTGCCATCTATCAATGAATCAATCATTGCCATCTGTCTATGGCAATGATTTTGACACCACTTCACTTGTACAAAATGTTCATTCACTGTGATGCATTGTTAGTAGAATATGAATCTGAGTCAGTGCTACTGCTTCCTATCTTCTGGTGCCAAAGAATCCTCTACTCCAGCTTCCGAGAGGTGCGACTGTCTTCTTGGACTCAGCCTCCTCTTCTATCTTCCTGGCCTGCCTCTCCTGTAGCCGTGCCTGGTTCCGCTTGAAGGCTTCCAGTGGGTCGTCCTCTGACCTGTAGTAGTCCAACACTGGGCGGATGTCCTCCACGCCACTCGTCGCGATAGTACGGAGGAAGAACGCCAAGTCGAACAGAGTCCGGTCATCACTGTTACCATCCCACTTCTGCAGACCGACGGCGTTGCTAGGTTGCAGTTGGTACGCATGTGGATCACAGTCCACGATGATGACCTTACCCATGTCCCGGTTAAGACTGGATAGGTCCTTCACGTGGTGGCCGTTCATGTACTTTGTTGCGTCTCGGAACAGGCGATACATGATGTAGCCATTGGGGTCAAGGCTGTCGATGAGGGGGTACGCGGTGAAGCCTTGCTCACGTGTGTATATGACGACCTCAAAGAGAGGAGGGCCCACCTGAGAGAGGAAATAGTCCAGACCTGGCCGCTTCTTGAAACGCCAGCCGGTTCCATAGGTCCACTCTGGGTGTACCAGTACGCCTGTCATCTCCAGTACCAGGGTGTAGGGTGGCTGGTAGTAGGGCTCCTGTAAGGGGTCAGGGAGGAGCTTCTCACGGCTAGGCTCTTCAATCATGGTCTTATAACCCATCATCTCCTTCCAGGCTCGGCGGAAGTACGCTAAGAAAATCACGTCGTTAGAAAACTCGTCCTTGATAACTTGCCCATTTTCATCTCGTTGAGGTCGCCCCATTTCGACGAAAGAGACTGTACCACCGATGCCAAACAACGCGAGGGTCGCGTAGATACTGATTTTGGTCCAATCTCGTTTTGGCTTCTCATCTTTTTTGTCCTCGTGCCCTTCCTTGTCGCCTGCACCCTGCTCTGTACTTTTCTCTTTCAGAATGGATTGCGTGATGGAGTCTTCAGCTGGAACTGATATCGTCGTAGAAAAGCGAGAAGCACAGGCAAACCTGTACACTGGCGCTACTCTTCTGGAGGTAAATAGTCTGTGACACAATACAGCAGCTCCGGTGGGTTGTGTGATCACGATTTCGCGTCGCGAGGCTGAAGAAAACAAGACAAACCCTCGTGCTGCTCTTCTCGCCATGAGCGCCGCCATCTTGGTGCCTTTTCCCATGAGGCTCCCTCCTGCGCATGCGGAGTTCTTCACTTCCGGGACAAAGACTCTACTTCCTATTTTCCAAACTGATCGATGTAGTGGTGTTTGAGAAGTATATTTTGAGCCGCAACGCAAGACCAGAAGTACCCAAAGTGCCTTATTACATCGACTGCATCGTTTTGCTTCAAACGAAGGCGACCAAGACGCTCAGACTCAGCGGGTTTTCTACTGGCTTTGATTTTGCGACTCCTGACACTGGTCCAGCTTCCGGGATGTCAAATTTTACCATGAGTAAACATTTCCCTTTCCGGACATAGTTTTCGGCAGTGATGAAGGGAAATCTGTACTTCTGAGTTGTGTCCAGACACACACGACATCATGCCGGTCTCCCAGGACATCGTCAAGCTGGCCATCGAGTTCCCCGGCTCGGGGAAGATGGCCCAACTTGTTGATTTTGACCAGGTAAGTGCCCCCTCCCAAAACTTTAGGCAGCTTCAAGTACAATGTAATTTTCAAGAGAACATATTTGCAACAAATAAAGCCTGGTTCCAACATTGATGTTGTCCTCTGCCTCCTCACACGTTGCATAATTTCTTTCTCAAACAAAAAAATCTATTCAAACAGAAGGATTACAAAATATAAGCATCAACATTTTATACAAACAAAGAGATATTGTTTATCGAAGCCAGCAAGCGATACCTGTAAAACGATGTAAATAAACAAGGAGGTTTTTAACCTCCTTGAAATAAAGTAGACAATGTCTTGTTGTGAATGTCTACTTGGACAGCATAACATATTGATTATCATTAAAATTCTGGTGTCACCCAGTTAGAGAAGAGAGTAAAAGACAGAATTATAGAATTCCAGACAAATTGGATAATGAGGGAGTGGCGGGCATTTACAGACAGCTATTGTATGTGCAGTGGTGTCATGTTCATCTCATGTCATGGTTATGCTACCATTACAATGCTGCCCATTGTTAGAGGTAACCGAGCCTAAAGAGTTGTCCAGGCTGTATGGAGATGCATGTCCTCTTTTGACTCCTTTGGGGAAACAGTTGGGACAACACTGTAGTACACAGTTAGGAAATCCAGAGGACCGGCGGAAAAGAAAACACATGGATCAGATGGCACTACTTAATGTATTGATAATTTGTATGATATGTACAATACATTGTGCTTAACCTGTATAAAGAACTGCTTAAAAAGTGAGATTCTAGTAGTTCTACAATATGTACATGGCTGCAGGGAAGATATAATATAAAACAGCTGACTGTCCTTGTCAGTAGCAGCGTACTATGCTTGTAACATCACCTTGCCAGGAAAGGCTTGGTGGAGATGGTATGAGTCACCACCATGTCATTAATCTACTTTATTCATTGATACCAAATGTCTCAAAAGTATGGCTGCAGTATTTTCTATTCAAAGATGGGACACTCCAGACTTGGGGTTGATTGGATCTTTACCAAGGATGTTCAAAGCCTCATTAATTAATCTCACACTGTGCAGGCCAGTGCTAGTGGCAGATAATGTAATTACTGACTATAAGTAGCCTAATTTGTAACTAACCCTTTGGTTTGGTGAGCTTGCCAGTGTCATGGTAACACATATGTGGGTCTGACTGTGATACATATGTACTATTAACATGTACAATGGAGTTTTATGACCTTCATTCATTAGACAGAGGGGACATCAAGCATTGGGGTAGTCTGCCAAAAAACAGTTACTCAAGCAACTGGATATGATTTTGAAAGATTTTCAAAATCATATCCAGTTGCTTGAGTAACTGTTTTTTGGCATATCGTATTACCTGGATGTCTAACCTTCATCGACGTACATTGGGGTAGTCTCATGTCAAAAGAACCCAACACACTAACTTATTGAGAAGAGGATGGGTGGGCTGTTGTGCTTCTTTTAATATGATCATCATATGTATCCCATCCTTTACATATCCTAGCTCCACAGTGTATATGTACTAGTAGGTCAAACAAAGATCCAGAGAAGTCTTCAAGTTTTTAGAAAACTGCAGTTATTGCAAGGAGAGACAGGGGGCAGGATCTAGGAGCAAAGTCAGCTGAATGGAATTTTTGCAGAGGGTCTTATAGCCTGATTTTTGTCAGGATAAAAAGTTGATATACAGATAAATTACCACTGTTTTATAGCAACTTGAGATAAAAGACTTCAGGGGTTTGTCATATCCTAAAATTCTGTGTGCACCTGCAAAATTGTCCCAAACTGATCAAAGAAACATCTAGCCATTGCAACCTGTTTTAATAATAGGATATTTAGCATAGACAGTTTACAGAAATAGATCTACAAATAAAAATTTTAATCGCAGTATATCACGAACAATAAAGTTGTTCACCGTCAACAAGTAAAACATGTTATATATAACTGGAATTAGTAAGTGGTATGGTCCACTGTGAACCACCCTTTCTTCACACATGGTTCAGTCCATGTTGTGATTACCATCACAGTGGACCCCATACGTACCATTCACACCACATGTGGACTCTGCAGGCCACAGACCAGGATCTGTTGTGTGTATGTTTGTGTGCTGGTGGTCTTCCAATTCAGCCTGGAGTGATGCACAGATAGGAGATATTCTCATGTAGGATTCTAGCTAGTTTCTCTTGAATATGGCTTACTTCAACTCTTTGAGAAGGAAGGTATGGTACCTGTATCTATACTACTAAATGCAAGGGTAGCATAATGTTTTTTTTACATGATAATACTTCTTCTGCAGTATGCAAGACACTATGTGTTTTCTGTTTGGATTTGATTGTTTGTTTAAAAAGTGGTCACCCTGCTTTTGCAGATAAACTAGTAATATGTATGTAAATATAGATATTTCATTGATTGTACATATATGTAGATGGATCTTATGATCTTAGATGGATGTCTCTTTCCCTTTCCAGAAAAAGCCGCTGGTAGCGATCATCCGGGACGTGTGCGATGTGTAAGTAGGACATATATCCCGTTACACCCTGCAGTTATCTGTGCTCTTCCACCTGTTATCTTTTCCTGTAGCTGTCCCCAGTCGTCCTTGAACTTCTTTTGAACTCTTGGTTATATTTCTTCCTGTTGTAACATCAGCTACTGTAAAGTACTGTAGCCCTCTGCACTCTTGAAGGGCATTTCTGAGAATGTGGTTCTTCTCAAAGTATCCTGATTGACTGATACATAAATGTAATGTTAATGTATAATATCAATGCACAATGACTACAACTTTGTAGATAGATCTCACTACTGGGAAATTGTACTGACTCTTTCCATACGTTTTAGCCTTAGGTCACCTCAGACATTCTTGTACATGCAAATGAGGAGAAATCTTATGAGTATGTTGCAATTATACCTATTACTAGTATTGATGTCCCACTTTAGGTTAGGATAATTGCTAGGTCTGTGAAGCAAGTTGCTCTAAGAATACAGGGTTTATATTCCTTTGACACACAGCTGGCTAGACATGCAATTTTATCTTGATTCATTCCCCATAAATTGACCTGTAGCTCATGTATGGTAAAGGAGAAGTCCTAAGCTGTAAATAGGGTTAATATCGTTTGACATGAGGGGGAGAGAAATACAGTACAAACTACTTTTCACCCTACCTAATAGCCCTCCATTATCTGACTGTTTACCATAATGGTGGAAATGCAGTCCAGATTTTGGCATTTCTACTTGTGTAAGTAGTGGGAAAATCAGTTCCAAATGTGGAGAGTACTACTGGGTCATTAGTTTTGTGTGCCTGCTTCTGTTTGCAATCAAACCCACCCAAGTTCTGTCACCACTCTCAACATTCAAACCCAGGATCAGCTATGTCTTTCAAGGTTCCTTCTCTAGGTAGTCTTCGTCCAATATTCTAGAATGTTTTGGTGTCTGCAAATGCTCTAGGCCATGTTATAACTATTATTACATACATACACGAAACCTTATATATGTAATAGTATACGTACATGTTAAAATGTTAACGTAAATGTAAATGTGTACATTATGGTACAGTCAGAGCAAGGAGATTCTATATATGACCTCCGTGGTCAGACTCAGACTCAGAGTAAAAATTTGTCAATAAAGATGAATATTTACATGGCCTCATACTATTTTACATGTTTTCTCACCCCGTTACACAATTTTCTCCTGTTCTGGAGACAAATGTTTTATGTGTATTTTTACCCACTGTGCCTTATCCTTTATGGTTTGCTCAAAATCTGTTTTGTACTTTCATCTCATTTTACTCTCTACTGCATTATTCAAAGTGAATTTTCCTCTCTGAATTTAATGCAGAAAGATAGGAAAATCCTGGGTAAATCCTTCCTGCTGTTCCATATTTTCTTTTCAGTAGCTAATGTTTATTTAGAAAGCCTTGGGAATAAGACCTGGATTATTTTTGTCAACAACAGAATCGATTTTCCTCTTTTCTAAATTCTAGTATTTTACATTTGTTACCCTTAGGGTGTTCTTTTAATATCTCCACAAGAATAGAGCTTGGAAAAATAATTTCAAATGATTCCTTTAATTGTTCTCTCTTTTTAATTTTCTTTAGGCAAGGACGTGGTTTGCCTCTTTGCTTTAGGTTAGGTCAATCCAATATCAAATTCGAAGAAAATACATATTGTCTTTTATTACAATTTGTGAAGGAAGGACTGGCCTGCTAGATCTAACAGTAACAGCCCTATTTCTGTCTTTTTGAAAAAGATCAGTCTTGAAATAGACAAATGAGGTTTATCAAGACATGATAGAGGGGTAGGATTTAGACTCCCCAGGGGGGAGGGGATGTCCTGGGAGGGATTAGCTGATAATTGGCTTCTTGCTGGTGTGAATTACCATGCTAATGAGGGACTTACAGGGGGACTTGTGTCAACACACCTCTGTAACTACTACCATGATAGACCAATACAGTTTTCCATCTTTGGAAAGTTAAACTGTTCAAGCTTTGCATGTAAACCCACTAGTTTATGTCACATTCTAAATTTTAGACTTTTCTACAGTGCTTAAAGTGAGGATGCATTATTTACATATTGGAAGACATATTGATCGATTTATTCTGAATTTGAATATATTTTGGGATCTTTCAAAGTTTTAAACTTGAATCCTACAAAAACAGGAAACGCAACTATAGTTTGATAGAATGTTATGTGGTTACAAAATCTTGAGGTAGAAATTCAGACAGGCATTTCCTTTCCATTTTCCCTCCCAGACTGTTCTATATTTTGAAAACACCAAATTACACACTTGTCTGAGCATGAAATGTGGGTATTAGTGTTAAACCAAATCAACAACAAGTGAAAATTTACATTATTCTCTCAGATCTAGAGTATTAAAGGAGATAAGTGGACATGTTGCAAAAGTAGAAAACCAGGAGTCCAAGAGGTACTACTACATGCAAATGTGTTCCACTTTTGCAAAGAAATTACACAATATCAAGGAGGTTAAAAATCAACCTCCTTGACAATATCATGTATTTTTTTTCTTAGATTCATAATCATAATGTATTCTTAAAGTGAATCTTCACACTGTCTTTTCCAGATGGCAGGTGCCCAGCTCTGAGCAGTATGCACTTCAGTACTCAGACAACACTCAAACATACATCACAGAAAAGGTAAGAGCATTCTTACATACTGTTTCATCACATCATACAATGCAAGAGCTGTAACCTTGTAACCACTGTATGCTACCAACGTTTCAATTTTTCTTCCACTAATACAATGTACAGTGTGAAAAACTTACTCATCAGTACATTTTGCAAAGAAAAGAATTAAGAATTGATGTAACCTTTTGTACATGTATGTTGTTGTTGCTACAAAGAGGAATTTAGAACCATATTTCCCTGGTCTAGAGACACAAAATGGAATGTGTTATGTATGAGCATGTTTGATGTGAATATGGTTTCCAGGAAAATTACATTTTAGAAGGCATGGTAGGCACCAAAGGAGTGGATGTACAAAGGTCACCTTGTGTGGTTATACTGTACACGCAGCCATGGCTGGTCTGAGTGTCTCACTACCAGATCTGTCCTTTCCTCAGAACCGTAATGAGATCAAAAATGGAACCGTGCTGAAACTCACCACATCTCCGGTAAGACTTTCTCTTTTGAAGCTTATTTGCATATCACATTTATGCTTCCTTTCTCTTGCCACTGACCCCATAATTCTTTGGTTTTCAATCATCACAATGTATAATCGTAATACTGTAATTGTATGATACAGAGTACTAGTATCTGTCTGATATATATGGTACAATGACTCGAATAACAGTTGCATACGTAGTATGTATAATACATGTACATACATGTGACCTATATGAAGTGTTGCAAAGGGTTGTATTTGTGTGCAAGCGTTCTACATTTTGTTAATGTGTTTAACAGTACTGTAGTGTGTTAATTTAAATATATTGACACTCATTGTACTGTAATATAGTATCATCCAGTCATTCACATAATATAAGATTATGATATCATGATATTAAGAGCATCTCAACATTCAGTCCATGAAATAATAACAGCAAAATAGGAGCTGAATGTCATTGTATTTTGTATTTCAGTCTAAAACAGCAGCAGATATTGTGGTGTGTATGAAGGGAGAGGACTCAGTAGAGAAGTGTAAGGCCTTACAGAAGCTGGCCAAGATCTCGGCTGATGTCACGTTTGCCAGCGAGTTCATCTCCAGGGACGGAGTCCCTCTTCTTGCTGGGATGGTGGAAAATGGATCTGAGTAAGACTTCTTTAAATATTCCTGTAGCTATCTGCCTTTTTTTAAAAACAATGTTTGTATATACCTTTGAACAGTCAACAAATTCTGCTGCTGCTGATTAATGAAATATGTCCTATTTGTATGTGACTAACTTATGGAACCCTATCAATTGCCTTATCTAGCTATGAATTGTTAGATACCAATCTAAACCAATCAGACAGGATACATGAAAAGTTCATATTCTTTGTCTCAGAACTGGAGAAAATTTAGCCTTCATCCTGACTGCCTTTCTGGAACTGATGGACCATGGAGTGGTGTCCTGGGATATCCTCACTCCTACATTTGTCAAACGAGTAAGTGCAGGACAGATTATACTGTGCGTGTGATGGATAACTCATTACTAAATAATGAGCCATTGAAAAATACATTCATGTGAAGTTGAGAATGGCTAAAAATAGATACACCAGTTGGAAGCATCATGTACATGTTTGCAAGATGAAAGAGACGACACACAACTACAATGGATGCTTTTTGATGTTGACATTACTACAACTCAACTCAAAATGATGTCATACGATGAATATGTTAATGTACTGCTTTTGTATTTTGCAATTCTACTGCTTAACTTCAATTTTGTATATAATATGTGAATTTTTACTTCTTACCACAAGTTTATTACTTCGAAAAATTTGAACATATAGGAACAAATGGAACTGAGCTGTGACTTTCATTTTAGGAACCCTTGAAATAAGACGATCTAGACTATCTCTTATGGCATATGGCTTCCCATTTCCTGCTCTTGTGTCTTTCAGGAATTACAGTATCAAAACCTCCCCCAAAATGAAATGGGTCAGTCCAAATTCAGTAAGCTGAATATGCCATCTTTAATATTGAGGGGGTGCATGAAGTAAATAGTTTGCAGTTTGTCTTTTAAGGGCAAATGAAAGTGGAGAGGAAGGATATAGTGGAAGATACCATACTGACATGGGTAGGGGCAGGGTTAAACTAAGAGAAAGCTAATATCCTGTGTCCTCTGTCTGGGTGTAGGTGGCCACCTCTGTAAATAGACATTCCGCTGATGCTACTATCCTGCAGAAGTCTCTCGCTATACTAGAATCTATTGCCCTGAATAGGTAAGTTAAGCATGTTGGTTGTTAGTTTGAATAACTGGTACTAGATTGTAGTATAGTATGAAAATAGTTGCACGTAAAAAGATATTGTACATAGAATGCTATATACATGTACTAAAGGATGCCAATAGATCTAAATGCCTAGTATCAATTTGCAGTTCCGATATAGGGACCTCTGTTTATGTTAAATCTTACAATTGACTGTTAAGTTTATCTAACAATGTGACAAGTCAAATGCTATCTAAAAGTTTAAAAGATGAAATTTTGCAGTTGCAGTTTCTTTTGTTTTCAATAATGACTGTTATTCTATATAGAAATTTAACTTCTCTCTTTTGATGTAACTGACTGATACCTTTTAGCTTTTAGCTCCTGTCTTACCCTGGTATTATTACATTGTTTGTTTTTACACATTGTGGGGGACATCCTGTATGAGGTCATACTTCCATACTCACTGATAGCTTCTACTCCCTTCCTTTCAGCTATGAGCTCTACAAGTTAGTGTCCAGTGAAGTCACGTTTGGAAACCTCATTTCACACATTCAGAGGTGGGCAATGAACTGTTCGCATACCGGTTACTCATCTGTGTAAAGTACGTAAAGCTTTGCAATTGATATCTACTATAGTCTTACATGTGCATGTACATTTTGAAGTGCTCTATTCTCTTACATACCTTTTCAAGTAGAATCTATCTATCTAATGTTATATACCAAAATAAAATTTAAACATCCTTGTTTACAATGAATTGACCTGATGTCTAAGATCAATTTTCAGGTATCTCTTGTTCAATCATAGTTTGAGTTGATTTGTATATGAGGGGTTTAACCATTCAAATTGTGTGTTTGTAAGTTTTGAGGGAAAGTTTAGCCAGGTCATGCATGTACCTTATTGGTATTCATAATTGATGATGGTCTTTAGATGGGCAGTTTTGTTTCGACAGGCAGGAAGAAGGGTGTTAGCCAAGAGTGAAATTTATGCAAACCGTAAACAGGATACTTCAGTACACATGATACCTTGCGTTAGAGGGTCGAAGGAATGCTGCCATTGTGTAGAAGCACTACATTGTAAAAACAACACTGTAGATACTTGTTGAAAGGTTTCTCTTCTATGTAACTTCTTCCTACAGCATATCAAAATAAGCTAACTTAGTAAGAAAGAAGTTTCAATTTCTCGTATTTGACCATCCTATTTATGTTTTCGTACTATTACATGGCACTCTTTTGTTTTTTGTCATTTCAAAGTGTGGTTATGTTTGTTGTTGTTGTTCATAAAAAAGAACAGCTACAAATTAGGATGTCAGTGTTTTGTCACAGGCACTCTTTTCATGGATGTTTGTCATGTAGAATTTAAGTCTGAGGTCTTGTGTAAGCATGAAAGCCATACAATGTACATGTATGCATGTTCACATTGACCTAATAGTACGGTCAACTTGCCTCCGATTTGGGTCAGCAACAGTCAGACCTCTTAGCAATGCAATTGAACCACAACGGTGTGGAATCGGTTTTCGTAACTAAAAACAGAACAGTTAACAACCCATTCTTCAGCTAGCTGTAACATCCCAGGCTACTATCTCTTCTGTGGACGTCCAAGTCCATTTATATTCAGCAATTACTAGTATGTTTTCAGCCAGGTTTTGAAAGAGCCATTTTAAATTAGGGTGGAAAGAAATATTTCATACATGTGATGTACATACAAAACTGGGGAAGTACCTAACTAGCATCATAAGTAAGACTCTTGGTTTATATTCCACACGGGTTTTCTGCAAATTAGTCTAATATTGGAAATGTTACACTTGAGTGGTACACAACTGCATGTCTGCTGTATTGTTAGGTGGTGATCAGGGAATGTCTTTCTTTGGCATATTTATTTTTAATGAACAGCTGTCGTATCCACATGACATGGAGCAATTAAATGCCAAAGGTAACATTGAAAAGAACGGTTCCTACAAAGGACATTCCAACAGCAGCTGATTGGCATTCTTCAAAAAGAAGGTCATTTAATTCCTATCCTTTTCGAGATTATTGCTGATGTTCAGCTTGTGTTGTTTCTCCTCCAGCTCCAACCAGGAGATCCAGTGTAACGCTGTGGCCTTGATCAATGCCTTGTTCCTCAGAGCACCTGAGGAGAAAAGAAAGGTACGTTTCATTCACATTTGTTGTTCTTTCAATGAAATTACCTGCTATTGTAATTGTACTGTATTGCACCATACTGCTTCACACTATCCTTACACCTTGGGTGTTTTAAGGTTACAAGGCAAACTGGTCAGTTCGAAAGAAACTAGTTTGTTCTGGAAGTGATTCCGGTACCGTATAATGGTTGTGGTGAAGTGAAGTGTTTCAAAATGTGCTGGTCAAGACAATTTAGCAGAGCTGACAGTGTTTGCTGGAATTGATAGCTTAAAATGGTTATGGTGAAGTTTAGTGTTTCAAAATGTGTGCTGGTCATGACAATTTAGCAGAGCTGACCGTGTTTGACCACCCCCATTTCATGCTTCCTTCAAAAGAGAGCCCACTCAGAGGCAGACTTGTCCGATGAAGAGGAATGCTGGCAACAAAATGGGTCGGAGTTAAGCATTGTGAGTAGAACTGCTGTGTCTCCAACTGGAATACTAATCTCACTAATGTCTGGTGGTTGAGAGACATTTGTCTGGAGAGGTCTGCCTTTCACACCAGAGACGAGTGTTCACGCAACTATCCAACTTGGACAGTGTGTGTGCTGGAGAGTTCTTGTTATCTGCCTCAGTCTCTTCTTGTGCTACAAACCTGATGTCTGTCTTCTGTTTCTGAGATTAAGATATAAAAGTTATACTGGTAAATATACATGGTTTCACTGGTATTTTTGTCTATATTTGTGTGCCAAAAAGCATCAGTCCCATGGGATGGACTGCAGTATTCAGGAATATTCAGCTTACCCTTGGACAGTGTGGTTCTATCCTGGCCCTTCTGATCTGTGGGTTGTTTCCTTGAATGTGTGGCTCCATGTGGAACACAAAAGGATATGAGTGTGGGCTGATATAGGTGCACTTGACCTTGGAGAGACAATACAGAAAGAAAGTTCGATTCTGATTCTTTGAACCTGAAATGTACATACATGTAGATGATTTCAGGTCTCACCAAGTATTTTGTTTTTTCTTAGTCATTATGGATACAGCAGCATTTGACATTTAGAATAACTGTTAAGAATGCAGTGGCAACCACAGATTCATCTTGTTTCTGCCTCCAATCAGCTAGCTCAATCAACAAGGGGTCAGGGCTTTTTGGAACCGAAATTATGGCATTCATCGGCCAGAGAGGTTGCCTGCGAGACCTTTACTCCATCTAATTCAATCAAGGCAGGACCTGTGCTGATTGGTCAGTCAGCTGTCCACCTAATGCGTTTTCCTTAGGGCCAGCAGGATGCTTTTCTCTTCTCTTTTGATGGTTGCTCAAGAAAGCATTTTTCATCCATTGGAAGTCATCTATGGCTTGTTTTACAGCTGTGCATGGCACATCTCTTTGGTAGTGAGGTCATTTTAAGGAGCACTTTTGACAGTTTCTCCCGTTGGTTATATTATAAATGGCTGCCAGAATGTGCTGTGAATACCTCATCAACTGCTGAAGGACAACAGCTTGCTCATAATTATTTAAAGAGCTTGAGGATGACTCTCCCTTTCTACACTGATAAGATAAATTGAAGCAAGCTTTTCCCTACAACTTCCAGCACAAGTAACAACAATTACATGTGCTCTTATCTGGGATGATTCAATTTGATGGCCTGTTCATGTCATTAGAGGCACTAGACTTTTAATAACCAACAGTGTGCCCTTCTAATACATTGTACTTGTAGATAGCAATAAACTGTCCTCCTTTGTGGACATAACTCCTCCTTCCTTTTTGTGGTAAAACAAATTCCTCTACCTTGTTCTTACACACTTTTCAAGATAATCTGCATATGTTGGTCTGCCAGTGTTTTAACAGTCAATACATTGCTTTATATTTTTTTAGGAATGTTTGATTTTGTGATGGTGGATCTTTCCCAGTGTCAGTGTTTCAGACTAACAAGTTCTATTGGAAATTATTTTGCAGACGTTGAGTGACAACCTGAATGCCAAGCAGATCAGGAATGTTATATTGAATGTAAGTATGTTTTAACAATGTACTGAAGGTCGGTTGCATCAAACACAACCTATGTGTGTTTGTATTATTAACCTTTTTTGTGCTGTGACCTTGTCTATGACAAAAATATATGTTTGTATTGGCTAACATGGAAGCCAGCTAACATGGAAGTCCTTACATCTATATGCAAGAAAAGCTCAGCCAGTGGTATACACATGTAGTTAGAACAATAGAGTTTAAGGTTCAAAATAAAAGGATTATTCAAAATAATTCTTCTTCTTCTCGAGTAACCACTGCTACACTCTTCCCCTCCAATACTCCGCACATGCCCTTCCTCTGGGGGTCAGGGCTTCAAAATAATGGAATAAGGAACATGTTAGAATTTAGACAGTAAACAGAAGCTGCAAATAAGTTAGCATTGAGGCAATAGTGAGTGTTTGCTGCTTCAGAGAAGTCCATTGTTTAACTGTGCTCAATGATAATTACCATTTTGACAACAGTGTGACTATGTTCACATGTGAAGAGACAGGATTTGATATATGTGTTTGAAGAACTGTGTTGGAGATTGAACTTTGGTCTCTACCACTTTATTTAGCCAAGAAGGAAGCTTTGTATCATTAGAGAGGCATGTTCTTGACTGTTCCAAAAAGACTAAAAAAGCAATCCCTGCTCCATTTGCATTCATACTAGACTGTAAGTAAGCATTCTATACTTTGGTTGGAAGTCTAATCTTTTAGTTGATATACAAAGCATGGTAAATGATATTGGTATGCATATTGTATGTTTTTAATGTAATGTCTGTTTGCTTATCGGTGCCTGCTGAAAGGAATTCAGTATTAGACTTTATGACCATTTAAGCAATATAACCAAGTTAAAGTTTATAGTTTTTATGCATGCAACCTCTGGAACTAGTATTACATGTTGTAGTTTTAGCAGGTATTGTGTTGACTAGTCTGTGATAGCTAACTTAGTTCCTGTTGTTTCTCTTGGAAACTTTGTTTTTCACAAATTGGGATTGAAATACACTGTTGTGCACTGTGAAACTTTCATGAAGCCATTTCGAAACTTACGAAGCTATTTCATTCCTTACTGGCCTGTACATGATGTCTTTGTTGTGGTGTCTTCAGCATGTGATCCGGGGTCCGCGTCAGGTGGGTACAGAGATGGCACACCAGCTGTATGTGCACCAGACACTGTCCTTCAACCTGCTAGAGGAACGCAGGATGACCAAACTGGACCAAAATGACCAGGTACGTTGTTTATACAGTATGATTCAATATACATGTATGTGTCAGGATACCAACAATACTGTATACTTAAAAAAGAGATATTTCAGTTGAATTGTTGTAATTGCACATGAAATTTTTGAGCCTTCAGCATGTGCAACCACATGTCCTGCAATGCAATTAAAAACTGCTGGAGGTCTCTTTTGATACATGAGTCTGTCATTAGGCTTAGCCTTCCTTCAATCTTTCTCACATCTGTTCTTTTACATGTGATTGGTCCCTGCTAAAATGGACCATTAATGAAGTTGTTTAGGTTGTACAAATAATATTATGTGAAATATGTCTTTTTGTGCTCCTCCTTTCACATAAAGTCACTGAAGGAACAGATAATGGAGTTGAGAAAAGTGGCCTTCGACAATGACCAGGACCCATCAGGCTCCATGCCACCTCCCAGGAAACCAGCTGAGAAGTTCACCAGGGACTACAAGAAACTGGGCTTCACGGTATTCTAAACTTATTAGGTTCATAGAAACAGTTCATGTCAACAAATGTTCTCAGATTACAGAAGTAAAATTACTGTTAAGTTGAAAGATGTTAAGTTGAGTTTGCTTGATGTTTGGTGCTTTGAGTAGTGGTCCATCCCAGTGTGAGTGGGTCAAACCTTATAGTCTGGTCTCAGGGTTGACATCTCGAAAAGGTGACAGTCAACTGTTATGTCAATCCTTCCACAACGTGTGATAAATCTTGATAAATAAAAGTCTTACTTGACAAAAAGACAAACTCCTGCCACTGATGTTGTATTGTTTTTTTCCAACAGAATTACACAAACCCTGCCTTAGACTTCCTGGAGACCCCTCCAGGTGTACTTGCACTTGACCTCATGGTGTATTTTGCTAAATACCATGCTGAAAGCTATACAAAGGTGAGACAAGTGTGATGGTTGAATAGTTTAAACATGAATACAATGTAGTTTCATATTAAGGTGCTGTACTCTTGTTGTTTACCTTAAAGTTTATAGCAGAAAAGAAATGGAAATGAGAAAACTACTCGCTTAAAGAAATCAAATGCAATGTGATTTAAAGTTGCAAGTTATACCAATTATTCATCCATACCTTTACACAGCTTGTCCTGGAAAACTCCTGCAGACAAGACGGTCACGAATGTGCCTTTGGGAAAAGTTCAATAGAGCTTACCAAGATGCTGTGCAAGATCCTTAAAGTTGGGGAAATACGTAAGTACTTCTTGCTATTGAGCAGTTACTGGAAAGTTGTCTAACTCATAAATAGGTTATAGTTTAGTCCTCGCTCCCATTTCTTCTTAGTACATCTTTATATGCTGGTCATGTCATTGGTTGATTTGTCATGAGATAAACTTGTACCCTATACCCACTTTTCAAAAATTGCTTTTGGAGGAAAGACAAGACAGACTAGCAACAAGCTGGTCAGAATTTGTCGAGTGTAGAAAATATGCTCAAATCAGGTTGAAGCTTTATGGAACAATTCTAAATGGCACACCGTTCAATTTCCTGTTTCCTTCTCCAACTTCGAATTCCTTCTACAGTTTCTTTCCCCGGACTGCAAAACTATGGAACTCCCTCCCAACACATGCTTAATCCTTCCAAATACAATCCTCAAAATTTCAAAATAAACATTTACCGCCATCTTTTTGGATAGCCATACATCCGTCGTGTGACCGAGCTCAATGCCTACAAGTGTTCATCTGGCTTTGCATTGACCAACACTCTCCCCCTCCCCACCACCAGCCACAGAGACAGGGCAGGAGTACTACCCCATGTTCTACACCCACGACAACGCTTTCGAGGAGTTCTTCTGTATCTGCATCCAGCTGCTCAACAAGACATGGAAGGAGATGAGGGCAACACACGAGGACTTTAACAAGGTAAACCCATTATGATGACCTTCAGAAAACCCATGTAATTTGAATAGGATTTTATAACTTGGGCTTAACCTTTTGTTGCAGCACCAAAATCTCCAAAATGTGATTTATGTAAATAGGTGCAAATGTAAGTATATTAAAGAATGCTTAGACATTAGAACAAGTAGTATGCTAAAGTGACACACCAAAGTCAGCATGTTGATTTGTTTATGTATGTAGGTCAATTCTTTTGTACCCATGTGTCTGTATGTTTAGTTAAAGACCGTACGAAAGTCGCTGTACTTTTGTTGTGTCAATGAAGTTCTGTATTGTCCTACTGCAGAATAGAAGTGACATGTGTGTCGGATGAATTAATTATTCCTACATTTTTAATTTAGTCCGCCCAGCCACCTGGAGACATGTCATTACCCCGATGTCTGTAATACATTATCCATGTACGTCCCTAAGGACTGAGTGTGGCAGCTTATACTGGCTATTTGTGGCTGCCATTGTCAGGGGAAGTTAAAGTGTTATCTTCCTTCAGGCCTCCGTGTTATATTGCTGTTGAGCACAAAGCTGTGATGTTGAAGCCCCTAAAGTTACCATAAAAGAGAGCTTAACCTTTATTTGGCCTGATATGGATAGAAAATTCATGGCATGAATTGTCTGGTAAAATGTCTAACGTAATTGGCATTATTCATCAACAACCTATGTGTTGGAACAAAAGTTTAACCTTGAAACATGTAGCTACATATACATGTACATGTACACACACAGATGAACATTCATGATAATCTATGTGACTGTGGAATGCTTTCTGATGATTAAAGCATTCCATACCGGTATGTACCAAAAAGTACCTGCCAGTGAGTATTTGCTTTAAACTGAATTAGTAAGGAGTATTGATGTCTTCGTGGATATGCATGTGGAAATGAATAATCCCAAGATAGCTTGAATCATAGCCAAACCATTCTCATGCTGAGTAATGCATTTGGGAGAAGTGGTTTTACTCTGGGTTCTATAAGTTATAACCTTGATGTGATCGCATCCTGGCGATCAATTTAGTGGCAGTTGGAAATCCATTGATGCATGTGAATTGGCCATTTTATGACATTACCAGGCTTGTCTTTCTGTCAAACACTCCCATCCAGAGAAATGCTGTCAGTAACGGTGATGAATGAACAAAGATAATGCAGTTATTTGTCAAATTATCTTTCCTTGTAAATTAGTGATAGTTTTATTATGAAGAGCTCTCTGATCAGGTACTAGTACTTGGGAGACTCAGTATTTGACCACAGATGAATTATTAAGACATGGTTACAGTAGCTTTGTACAGAAATGGGAGTGGAAAATTATAGTTGGCTGTACTTTGAACCGAAAAGCTGCAAGCATGAATGAAGAAAGAGATGCATGATGAACACCATTCGGGTGGAATATTACACGTCATATAATGTGCAATGAAATGTGCTGTGATTGAAGTCACTGCAGCATGAAGTGCCTTTTTAATGGCTATGTTGATATGTACAGGGGGAAGTGACTAGGCTTTATGGGGCTCAACTCAAGGCTGGCATATTTGATGTTCTGTACTGTCATGCATAATCATTCATGCCTCCATCCTGCAGCTGTAGCACTGGCCAAATTAGCCCACTCTGGGAGCATCATTCTGTTAATAGATGTGTGACAACATCTGAATTACAATTGTGACAGTTGAGCCTAAATTGTTCCCAACACATCCATCTTCTCAAATGGTATTGGCCATCTACTATAGTACTAAGACTACTTTACCATTGCTGTTATGGCAGGATGCATTTCGTGGTATTACGGACAAAGCAAAAATATAGAACAAGTAATATTGTTCATAATATGGCAGAAAAAAATTGTGCTTAGATTTTCACACACAGTCCTTTTCCCCGATCCATCCTATGAAATAGACAGTCTGAAGTACTGGTAATTTATTTTCCTTGTTCATTTAGTAGCAGATGTTCATACACTTAGATTGTGTACAATACACCAGTGATGACATTTGATAGACATTGCTCTGTGGGTTTAGAGTCCTCTTAGGTCTAGAGTTTAAATCTCCAGTCCATAATAATATAGCTATCGTAGTCATTACCGGTATTCAATGACGTTTGCGCTATATGCATGTGACCTTCAAGTAACATCCCTGAGCAAACGGTATTCAACCTGTTACAATCAACATCCTAGAAACGATATCTTATTAAACACTTTGAACTTTACCGTTGTAGTAATAGATTCAAATTTCAGTATCTTTGCAGACCTTGACTGCATTTGGGGAAAAAGCAGGCTACATATTGTAGCTATTGATGATGTATGAGAGTTCATTAGATTCAGAGTTGTTTCAGCCTCCTTTTGTCATGGGTCCATTTTACTTCAAATCAACCTAACAATAGGCTGGCTAATCACACTTAATTATCATTCTTCCTCTCATTTTCCTGAATAACAATTGCATTGATTTGAAGAAACAAAGGAGATCATGTAAAATGCATTTTTTATTATGATTAACATCCCTTATCCTGACCACCCCCACTGATGCGATGGCTCGTCCCTGATTACATATTCCAGGTGATGGACGTGGTGCGGGACCAGATCCAGCGTGCGCTCGCCGAGAAGCCCAACTCGCTGGAAGGCTTTAAAACCAAGCTGCAGGGCCTGAGCTACGCCCAGATCACCAAGATGCGCATCCAGGAGAGATCCAACAAGGAGGAGTGGGACTCCCAGGCCAGACCCGTGTGGTGAGACAAGGGGGGATAGTGAAGGGGACGTAAGGGGCTTGTTCTTACCGTGAAAACCCTGAAGGCTGTATACAAATCACCAAGAAAACAGGGCAGATTTAAACTGCATTTAGGATGGAAATATCAAGAGTACAATATGTACTGTACCATATAGTCTCTATGTTTCTCAAGGATGGTTTAAAAAAAAGCTATTTTTCTTTCACTCATTTGAAGTAAGTAAAATGGTTGCAACAGCGTTTCAGGTAATTTGTTTTCATTACAGCTGCGTGACTAATCCTTACTTGATCGATTAAAAGGAAATCCCCTTTGCATAGTTACACAGTGGCCTTATCTTCAGAAATCCTGCCTTTGTTGACCTGCATATAGAGAAATTAGGATTGAAGGTACCCAATACAAGCACTGAAGGGACCAAATTCAAGAAAGATCTCACTCATGTATATCCATGTACAAATGTAGTATAGAGTGCAGAGGATTTTAACCATTCTGTTCCAGCACAAGACTAAGTAGAACTGAGCATCTTGAGTGGCCTGTAGTTGACAATGTCTGAAAATTGACTTTCATAATGACCAAGATTCTGCACTGTGGTTGTTGCAGTATACTGTAGGGCTATAACAGGCATATTGATTTTTCTTTTTAGCCATTCACATTTAGGAACCCACCTAAGCTGCCGGCATCAGTAACTTAAATTGTCTGCTACTGAATCAAAATTACTGCGAAGCGTGCCAAATATGCTGCAGCCATCATCATATATCATCTTCACATTTTATCGCCATGTATAGTTTATGATAAGGGATAATTGGCTCAGCTGGCAAATATGTCAATGAAAATTGAGCATCTTCCATGCAAAGAAATTTGTACTGTTTTATCCAAGGTACATTGTTCAATATGCATGGAATGCTTAAAGTGTGCTGCATTTTGGATAAAGATGTTTATTATTTTGCCCCTAAGTGGCCTCCCTTCTGACAGTGAATGGATACTGCTCATTTGACCACCCCACTAGGCATTGTGAAATTGGCTCCAGTATTGAACATGGGAGTCCAAAATCATTAAAACAATGAGGAAGTGGAGTGCACGAGCCCCTCTCATGGCGAAACAATGAGGAACCCTGTGGTTGAAAGCCCCTTTCATCTATCAATTTTCTGAAGTCATGCAGAGATTTTGATAATATACAGTGGGCCATCACCCCAGTAGGTATTGAAAACATTGTGTCCCAAGAGTCACATTAATTTGACTCTTCCCTTTTTTTGATGCATTCTTTGATAGCCTGTCATGTATAAAACATCTTTCATTCACAGTTCTGACATCAACTATTGATCTTTGATAAGTACAGATGCTGGCACAGAAAAATGTTACAAGAAGTCTTAACACTGTACAAAATTTGGAAGCCTCTTTCCACAATAATACTGTAGTGTTACCTGAATGCTTTCATCCCCTTTCTGTATAGGAAACAGAGTTACCCTGTAACTGTAAATATTTCCTACTTGCAAAAACAAATCATTTTACTCTTGGAAACACACCGTTGTAGATACAGAATTGATTTGAATTTTTAATGCCTATTGTTCAATGTGCATGTAATACTGCTATCATGTGGGTATGCCTATTACGGTCCAGCTGTCCCAGTCTACTACCAAAGGAGAGCACTGCAAATCAAAATGACAAGTCACAAGAATAGCAACAAAATGTATGTCGAAAATGGCCAACTACAAATACATGTACTAAGTGTCCTGTTTTTCCTCACAGACAGGCACTACTTGTTTTGTACAGTGTTGTATAACACACCTTGATTTGGACACCATCTGCTCTTTGTCTGAATCACAAGTATTTTGCAAAACAGACTGTCCTCACGGTGCCCTTTAGTGTTCTGGACAGTGAAAAATTGACAGCTTTCATTCCAAGTGATGTTGCCTTTATTTCCCAAGGGAAAACCAGGCCTAAAGGTTACAGAAACAATTTATTGCTTGATAATATCACATCATAACTTGTCAGATGGTCACGATCAATGCTTTGTGACAGATGGAGGTTTGGAAAAATGCAGAAATGTGAAATTTGTCATAAATCTTTGACATGCGAATGATATTTGGATTCACAAGGCATACATGGGGATTTTTGTGGCAAGATTCCAGCAAGTAATTACCCTTGATTGTCTGAAGTTTGTCTGTCTGAAGTATTGATGTTTTGGTCTTTTGATTGACAAATTCCTTGAGTTGGTAAAATATAATTGATGATAGCCTTGTGGGCAAAATAGTGAAGAAGAATATTTGAATATTTGAGTATACATGTACAAGTATGGCTTAAAATGGGGCTGATGGTTTTATGGGTTTAAGAGATAAGGGTGTGGTGAACTGTGTGTTTATTTTCAAAATGAATATGTCAATACAAGGTCTATACCAACCACATTTTTCATTGAACAGCCACCACAAATAGGGAATTTATGGTTACCTCATTCACCGTCAACCATACAATCTATTTGCGTGCACTGCAATTTAGACATCATGAAAGCAGCCACGTCAGTTTCTATTCTATTAGCAATTATGGCCTGGCATTTTGTGCATCCATAACCACATTACTTGATATATAGTGGCATTTCTGCCCTAATGATTTAGCAGTAACAACATGCCTCAATGCCTAATTCAGATTGATAGTAAATGGTTAACACTGGTGGGTGGTATATGATGTAGTGTTGTTGCTTTAAATTGTAGAATGCTGAACACTTTATTTTTAACAATTGGAGACTATAATTCAAAAGCCAATCTAACATCGTGATGACTGCCATGATGATGATGATCTCTTGAGCCACACATAGTACTCTAGCCCATTTAGTGGAGTCCCTCCATGCTTACAAATGAACACTTACCGATATACATCAAGTTCTGTGGCTCTTTATCTGAACCTGTAGCATTGACCTGGCTCTCACGCGGTTGTAAAGTCAAAAGGCAATCTATATTCCTCTCATGTCTATGCAGTGACTCAAAGAGCGTATCAGGAAATTGCAGGTCATTTCAAACATCGGGACACTCTTCAAAATTCAGACCATGAAGTCAGCTCTTGTGCAATGCTTGTGAAGTGTTGTAGCTTGAACCATCAGCTGGCTGATCCAATATTGGTATATTCAATCCTGTCTGTGCCAAGATTCTTGCAAGGCCAAGGGCAAGGTTTTTGTAATAACTAGGAACTATTGTAATGCATTGTTGCTAAGCCCCTGACTACATGTCATTTACCGAAATTCAGACTTTTTACAAGCAGTGCATGAATGATGATTTTGTCCAACACAAGGGTGTGTCTGTGGTGCTGAAATAAATGCTGCTTTCTATGTAAGCTAGGAAGGATGTCAAAAAATCCTGTTACAAGTGGAGAAATTTCAACTTTATATAATAACAACCAGACTGAGTCTAAAATTGGTACATTTTCTTCTAAATGTCCGTTCATCATGATACAGTGTAATTGTTTTAACTGTGCAAAAAAAACCTCCCTCCAGGACAAAATATGTCTGATTAGGCTTTGCCAAGTATTTAGATTCAGTTCCTGTCCTTGTGTAGAAGAAATTGATCCAGAGTCAGATTCTGCTGTGCAGGTTTTCATCATTTAAACAAAGACCCCCTCATTTCTATTGATTTTGATTATGGAGTCTGTGAGGTCAGGGCTATCCATTTGGTTTTGCTTCAAGTAACTTGGTTGCATTCACTTCAAAGTCTGGTATAGTTATGCACTCACAAAGTAGAAAAGAACAAACCCTGCTGTCTACCTTTCCCCCTGTGATCCTCATGGTCCCTCCCCAAGTACAATATAGCGGACATGCATGTATGCACAGTGCGTATTCATATTGCCTCACCAAGGCCAAATTCATCATCCCAGCGAGCTGAGGGCAGGAGGGGGCATATCTGTTGGCACAGGGAGGACTTAGTGATATTGAACGGAAGTCTGCCTCCCTTTTTCCTCTCAGTAATGAGAAACCATATGGATTTTTATATTTTTATCATGGAAAACAGCCTGCAGTTTTCTATCACCTCAAGCAGTGTATGAAGTTGAGGAATATTAAAAGCGACTTTGGGATGAGGAGAGATGAGTGTAATGCATTGTGATACAATATCCCAAGGCAAAAGCTTTAATACATACTACTTTATGTATCTGTATTAAAAGCCAAAGGTCTTGATTTACCAGGCATAGCTCCTATAGACTTTGAGCACTACTTTGCAAAACATTTTCACAACAATTATAATCACTGTTTGATTATTTCATAAGCTGTTAGTTTGGAAAGACCCAGGCTCCTTTGCTTCATGTTGAGACATCAGAACCTCCATAACAACATAGCAATGATTTTGCAAACTGCTTTGGATGTTTGACCCCTGTCGAACTTTGGACCCTCCACGTTGATATAAGAGTTTTTGTGTATTTGTACCGAGGTAACCGATGATGACCAACATTTCTTTTCGTTTCAGTGAGCTGAGAGAACAGATTAAACCTGAAATCATCAACCTGGTCAAACAACAGGTGAGTTATTGTCTTAGCCTATGTCCTATTCTTACACAGCATGCTTGAAGGAAATTACAAATTGTTACTGTGTGCCTGATTCCAAAAACATTAAATACATTACATTTTTCTTCTTGTCACAGAGACTGAATTATCTGGTGGAAGGGACACTGTTTAACAAGTTCACCAATAGAAGAGTCAAAGGTATGTGGAAAGGACACACTGTTTCTCACTTTTCTCATGATTTTATCCACCACAGATATGAATCAAATATTTGGTTAAGTCTTGTTCCTCTAAGGTGCTTTTCTATATGTTTAGAGAAACACAAATGAAACACAAAGGAATATTGCTGCATACAGAGGCACAGTCATACTTGCAAAGAGCATATGTACAAGAAATTGTGCCTTGCTTTACATGCTGAAGAATGTAACATTACATGTAAGGGTAGACCAAGTGGCTGGCTTGATTGATTGGTTTATGCACTCCCCCTG